ACCTGGGCAATTTTCTTAACTTGGTTGTGTAGCAGGATGTATGTGCAACACTAAATATCTACCCTGCATGAGTGGGCAGGGGAGGGGGGTAAGAACGAAATGAGAGAGCATATGTAAAGCATTTAACATACGGCCTGGGATTAGACAGGGGAGGGGTGTGTGTGTGTGTGTGTGTTTTAATTTATAAATAGGTGTCTGTCCTGTGATTTCAGGAAAACCAGGTGTACTCCACTCAACCCCAAATATTTCTCCTGCTACCTAATTAAAAGTTCTCCATTAGAGATTTAGGGATTTATTCCTTTCTCTAAAGGCTTTGAGCCCTGTTGAAATACAAATATGCTTCTAATAAGTAATACCATAAGCTTTTATCGGTCATTTCCACCCTATTGTGAACACAGTATTTCGGATCTGGTCCTGAAGGCCTGCTTCGATGCGGAAGCAGCGGAGGTGAAGGCGAGGATGAGTACAGGGAGGTGAGCTGAAGCCGGGAGACTGCAGTGAGCGGGCAGCTGCGATGCTGGGGACGAGTTCCATTGCCTGCACATTATCCCCTCGGAAACAGCCCTACATTTTAAGGGGGGAGAGTATGAAAAGGAAAACCTACCTAAATATTGAAGAGGTTTTTCTTGCCAGCCAGTGTAGCTCAGTGGTTGACCTATCAACTAGGAGGTCACGGCTGGATTCCTCAGTATGGGGCATGCAAAGATAGCTGATCAATGATTCTCTCTCATCTGATGTTTCTATCTCTCTCTCCCTCTCCCTTCCTCTCTGAAATCAATAAAAATATATTTTAAAGAAAAAGAAAAAAACCACGTTTTTTTCTTTCCATTCTAACAGTTCAGGCCTGGGATCCTCAACCCAGTTCCGGGTATAAGAGATCCCAGGATTTGTCATTGCTATGTCACAGTAAACCCTTGGTAGATCAAGCAAGGCACTGGCCCAAAGGATGTGCAATCTGGGGGTGCTGTTCCAGGCCAGGTTCACCCCATGATCCTGTGGCCAGATAGGACAGTGGGTGGCATGGAGCATGTTTACTTTGGAGGTCATAATGAACCCTCTAGATGACAGAAGAACACTGGTACTAAGGCTGGAGGGAAGGGAGAAGGGAAGGGAACTGCTGGCCTCTGGAAACCCCTGCCCCACACCACCCCTCCGCCCATCCCTGCTCATGGGGCCATGTGAGTCCCTTTGGCTGCAGTGATAGGATGGGTGGCAGCATGGACTTGTGAATTTGCCTCATCCAGGGTAGGTGCAGTGGAGAAAAGGACAAAGAAAGAAAAAAGAGATTGGAGGGGAAGAAGAAGAAGAGGGAGTGATGGAAGGACAAGAAAAGCAAAGACTTCTAGAGATAGACACACTGTTACTATAAAGAAACATTACTGGTCTGGAGAAACAATGTTGCAAATGATAATTTACCCACTGACACATTTATCATTAACTAGGCTAGACCATCTTACTAATGGGAGACATTTCATGGAAGTCATAAAAATGTTAGGTTCAAGGTTATAACTTTAGAATAACCTTTCTTGCTGACCTTCCATGGATAAATTCCTTGGATAGCTGATCCACCTGCCTCCGTTTTATTTGATAATCCCGGCCTTACTCTGATTTCTAACCTCGCCTGGCCACTGGAAAAGGTTTATCCAGGGTTTCTAATGAACTTCTTCTTTCTAGGAGAACTCTCTTGTCTTTCTTCTGCTCTGATCTTTAGGAAATACATGTGTTGAAATCCGAGGCATGGTGTTCTGTGATTTCCATTCTATTCCCGCTTATGAAAGCTGAGGTGGGAGATCTATTTCCATCATCTAAATTCTTCTAAGTGTCAAGTAAGAATGAAGACTCGGGGTTGTGAGTGGAAGAGGAGCTTCAAGGACATATGACAGAATCTTAACCTGAAAGACACAGATACTGGTGAAGACTTCAACTTCCTTATCAACAAGAGGAGGCAAATGAACCAGGTGGTGGCTACTCTGATGGCTCTTTAAGTTTCAAAACCATTTTTCTCTTCCTCTGACTTCCCCGAGACCATTCTCGCCCAAAGCTGCTTCTCCTCTCTCTCCTTTCCCTTCACCAGTCTGGTTACCTCCTTGCCATCAGCCTCCCAATGCTGAGTGCTCCTGTTCCTGTTCCTCCAGGGCCCACTTCCCTGTGGCCACCCACACACCCTGGCGACGCCCTTGTTCCAGACGGGGTCCTCTGTGCCCTGATACACTTTGGCCTGCTCTCTCTGTGCCTTTGCACACTTCATTCCCTAACTGCCCAGCCACTTCCTGCTCTGTCCAGCTCACTACCTGCCTGCTCTGCGATGTGGTGCCGAAGAATCCCATTCCTAACTCCTTGCCCAGCCCTGTCTCTGTGCCTTGACACTGGCTACTTTCTATGTTCTTTCCCACCACCTGGTCAAAAGCCACTATCTTTCCAAGTTCAGCCCAACCCGCACTCCCTTTGTAAAGCCTTCCTGCTCACAGTTCCCACAATCCCAGTGGAACAGGCAACCCTGAGCTCTGAAACCAACTTGTGGACAGCACTATTTTATTTCATTTCTTATTTATTGATATTGGAGAGGAAAGGAGAGGAGAAAGAAGAAAAAAAAAACACATTGATTTGTTGTTCCACTTACTTATGCATTCATTGGTTAATTTTTGTATATGGCCTGACCCGGGTTTGAACCAGCAACCTTGGTGAATCGGACGCACTCTAACCAACTGAGCTACCCGGCCAGGAGCTGGACAGCACCATTTTACCTTATATTAATTATATTATATTATATTATATTATATTATATTATATTATATTATTATATTAATTATATTATAAATCTTTGTGAGTGTTCTTGTCCCCACACCTAGACTGAATGCTCCAGGAAATGACTCCACATTTTTGTATATCCAGGGCCTAACGTAGGACCTGGTCCTCCATCAACATTTGTTGAATGAATGAATGACCTCTGCAACCAGTCAGAGTGATAATGGGCAATGTCCCCTTCCCCAGAACACGGTACCAATGTGCCTGAAATATCTGGATTCCTCGAACACTTCCTGAGTAGCCCAAAGTCCCGAAACCCTCTCATGTCAGGATGCGGGTGGAGATTTCAGATCACCCGACAGAACCATATTATTGCAAGACAATTGCCAGTGCTGGAGTAACTGTTAAAACAGTGACAGCCCACAGTGAATGAGTGACAGGACCTGGTACAAAGGGCTCTACATGCCTCATCACAACTGATCTTCATGGAGATCCTAGGAGGCAGGTGTATGGATAGGATGGGTAGGAGGATCCTGAGAGAACATAAGGTAAAGCGATCTGCTTAAACGCATGCAAGCAGCAAACACAGATTCTGGGACTGGACACAGGTACGTCTGACTCCAAACGGGGGTGGGGTGGGGTCTCCAGCTAATCCACATCTTACGGACGTCCTGTGGCCAGTGGCCAGTGGCCATGCTCTCCTGATCCTAAGTGAGGCTGCACGTCTCCCTGCTTCCCCGACTAAATTTGGTTCTGTAGTTTCTGCCCAGCTCAATCAATGGATGGGTCACATTCCAGGGTCAGATGCTGCCAGGCTGTTCTGGTCCACTGTGGCTACCTTTTCATGCTCCCCTAAACCACAACGTATGAACCATGCCCTTACTTCTCCTAATTCAGGACTACCAATAATTTGGAATAGGAAAAGCTATTCCAAATTATTGGTAGAAATATATTTCTATTTGGCAAGGCTTTAATAGGTGTTTTTTTTTTCCCTCCCTCATTCGCTCCCCTTCTTCCTTTTGTTCTTCCTTCTTTCTTTTTTTCTATAAGACAAACTTTAAATTCTTCTAAGGTCTTAGGAAAACTGTAACATCTATAAAAGAGATGTTTATAGTCCATTGTGAGAAACTGTCTTGCACATTTTGTTATACGGGCAGTCTTTTGTTCTATACAGAATTCGTGTTAATAAAATGTACTGTGAAGGCTTGCTGAAGGAAGCAGGGTCATAAGGGAACTGTTCAGATAATATGCTGCGTGACGTTTTGATATGATATTTGTGGGGAATATTTTCTATTTTCCTTCTATTTAGAATAGGATTTTATAAAACCCTCAAATTAAAAAATTTTTAGTACATATATACTAGCAAATCAATGAAAGAAAAACATTATTTGAACCTCAATAATTTAGAGTTAATGATCATTTGAATTGGAACAAGGCTAAAAGTAAACATATTCATTGAAAGAGTAAAGGGGAATTAAAATCATGAGGCACACACTCCCCTTCACACACACCCAATAGTCTCCCTTAAACACATGTATATGCTCTCACACCCCAAGATGCAGCACACCCCCAGATAGACCCAGAAACAAATATCATTAGTAATTGAAACCATTGACATTTTAAAAGTTATCAATCCAACAAACTCAAATTCAAGTATACTTGAATTTAATAGTAACTAGTAAATACAAGGACTGAGGAGTATAGATGGGAATGGGAAATATTTTTCTATTTAGAAGCATAAAACTAATATACTCTGTTTATTATACAACACTAGAGGCCCAGCGCACGAAATTCGTGCGTGGATACGGTCCCTAGGCCTGGCCTATGATCAGGGCCATCTTCCCAGGCAGCCGGCCTTGCCCCACCACCGCCACCCACCCCCAGTTCCCTGTTCGCCATTGGGCGATCGGAGCCTGCTGGCCAGGGAAAGGGACTGAGAGGTGGTCAGTGCACCTCATAGTGACTGGTCGAGTGGTCGTTCTGGTCATTCTGCTGTTGGGGTCAATTTGCATATTACCCTTTTATTATATAGGATAGGACCTTCCTAATTGATACCACTTGCTGTTCCACTTATTGCATTTACTTAAAGAAGTTTTAAAAAGGCATTAGAAATGTCCATCCTTTAGACTAACTTAGATTCATTTTCCTAATTTAGTCTAAACTGGTGACGTTTCACTGTGAAGCATTCTAAACTGAAATATAAAATAATTGGGAACTTTTTTTAAAAAATATATTTTATTGATTTTTTACAGAGAAGAAGGGAGAGAGATAGCGAGTCAGAAACATCAATGAGAGAGAAACATCGATCAGCTGCCTCCTGCACACCCCCCACTGGGGATGTGCCCGCAACCAAGGTACATGCCCTTGACCAGAATCGAACCCGGGACCCTTCATTCCGCAGGCCGACGCTCCATCCACTGAGCCAAACTTGCCAGGAAATTGGGAACTTTATGTGACCTCTTCCCCTGCTTGACACAGACCACAGAGAATAAAATAATTTCTCAACTACATGGCAATGTGATATCCTAAGCCAGTTTCATTAAACTTTCTTTTCAAAATTAAAATTATTTTATAATATTTTCCAATAATAAAAGTATTATATATTAATTGTATAAAGTCTACACAATAAAAGTAAGGCTTTGCTAGAAAATTAAAATAATCTGTAATCCCACTCTATGGAGAACATTTATTTAAATGTAGATATATATTTGGGTGTAAGTCAAGACTTTTTCTATAACATCTGGTTCTAGCAACATGGGGGATCCTCTCACATCCTGTAATATACACATAGATATTTTGGATAAAATATAATAAAATAAAATAAATTACTAATACACAAATATATCATGCTTTCAAAAGTAGATAATTCAGCCAAGAAGGAGGAAAGGGAAAGGCTCTGGTAGCTACAGCTAGAAGCTGGGCTGATAGAACCAGCACCTAAAGAATGGGAGTTGGGGTATAAACTTCACATGAAGAGAAGAGATGGCCTTGGGTTCACTGATACAACATTTAAAACATGTATTGCCATATATTTACTTTGTGAAACTACTAAAGAAATGATAAAATAATAAGGTTAGGATAACAGTAGCCTCTGAAGGGAAAGGAAATAGGTGGTTTATTGGCGGGGAGTATACAGGGGAAAGTAAAAGTAATGGTGTTGGCCTTTTTGTTCTTTTCCTGTAGTCAATGGTGAGTATTTAAGTGTTACACTAGTTTTCTTTTTTGTGTTTTTCCCATTATTCTTTATATTTCACATATATTTTAAGGTGTTGTTTTGTATCTGCTCAGAACTCCTTAAAAGCCATGTAAAAGATAGAATGCTAAAGAAGGACACTTTCCCAGAACTGAGAAAGGACATCAGTCCTCAGCTTGTAGTACACCTCGGCCCTCGAAGGTTAAATAAAAACAAATTCAAACCTGGGTAGTTGAGGGTGAAACTACAGAGCACAAAAGACAGAGAGAAAAGACGGGGAGACCAGACTGATCGTCCTCAAAGGAAAAAGTCCATTTCTCTGTAACAAGACAAACTCCAGAAGTGAAATAACAACTCTCACTGCTGAAAAGGGAAAAAAATCCCAAATAGAATTTTTTACCCAGCTAAGTTTCCTTCAAGAGGGAGGGCTAACCTCTGATCTCAGAGTTTACCAGGAACAGACCTTCACTGGAAGAACGACTGAAAGATGTACTTGATTAAGAAGAAAAATGGACCCTGAAAACAGATGTGGGAGACAAAGGGCAGAAGTAAGCAAAGAAATTTGCAAACAATTTTGTAAAACAAAAAAAAAACACAACAAAAAATGGGGTGGATTATGTTTTGTGGGACATAAAGTTCTCATAATTTGGGAAACCCTTTCTAAGAAAAGTATTAATAGAAAATGAGGTACAAAAGTTTACATTTCCTTTGAGGAATAGAAATCACAAGTTAAAATTTTAAATTGTAGCTAAATGCTACAAAACCTTATAAAATTCAGGAATATAATACATTTTCTAAGTATTGTCATTATAATTTCACCTCCTCTATATCACATTTTATTGCCTACATTTTTTGCCCACATACTCTTTGCTCACCTCCTGATGTGAAAATGACTTTTAAATATCATCCTACATGAAGAAGTAGAAAGATAAATTAGTCTTCTAACACAGTTGGTCAAACTTTGTTCCTTTAAAAGAAAATCAGCCATAGTTTAGAAACGTTTATTTTAGCTTCACATTTGTTGTTGGTATTGGGGGGAGTCTTCAGGTAACTCCAGCCCTTTGATCTCACTGTCACAGCAAGCTGATCAAGGTCGCTGGGTTTCACCACACCCCTATCCCTCCCACCCCTACCTTGCCAGGGCAGTTCTCAGCCGTGGAGTGTGCCAAGTCACATGGCTCTCAGGCTGAGAGTGGAACAGTGTCTCAGTCAGATTCTTGTCTGTGGGGAAGACGCTGAGGCTCCATGCCCAATGCCCATCCACTCTCCCACAGCCCCAAGACCACCATGGGAGCAAGAAGGATGAGCTCCAGGCTAGCGGGACTCCATTCCTCTAACTCTCCTGGGGCTGCTGCTTCCTCCTGGTTTCAGAGCCTCGGGAGGGTCCAGTAAGTTAGGGCCCTGAAGCTAAAATTTAGGTACATGGTAAATTCACTTCAAGCAGGGACTATAGAAAACAACATTAACAAAACAGCAATAATAGAGAACAATTACTTCCCACTAATATGTCCATACAAAGGAGAAAGTGGGGATACTATAAAAACACTCTTAACTTCTCTCTGTACCCTTACCATTCCTCCTAAAGGCACGAAGGAAGAGCTCTCCATGCTGGGCTCAGCCCCTTCTATTCTCTCTCCTTCAGCTCTGCCTGTCCCCAGAGAAGGAATGTTCTGGTCTGTCTATGTCCAGGTGGTGAGCAACCAGCCTTATTAGGGAGGCCTGCTGTTGCCTCACTGTGCATCGGGGCTAAGTCCACCTAATTCATGAACAAAGTATCAGCAAGCCCATCTGGCCACAGATCTAAAATTACTGTCTCCAATCAACTCTACATGAAAGAAAGCTAATATTATATTTTGATTTCAATCTCTTATTCCTGACTCTCTTCCCGCTTCTTTCTCTGTATTGGTTCTGAATTCCAGAGAGAAAGAGAAGTGCTAGGTATGGGATAATCTACAACCCTATTAATAAAGGCTAATTTGGGGAGATTTTAAAAAACAGGGGAAACTAATAAACTAGATGATACAGGGGAAGAGAGACTAGAGCTACTGATTACCTCAGTCTTTCTTAAGTTGTGTGGTATGTTCAGAATGTAAGCATGACCTCTCAAAGGAAGAGAATATACATCTTCCAAAATACTGTGTGTGGGGGAAGGGCAAAATCAATCCAATAGGAAGCAGAAAAAAATAATAATAAATATGGTAAATAAAAAACATAAAATAAAATGGTAGAAATAAATCCAACTATCAGCAATCCTAATAAATGTAAACATTAAATTCGCCTGTTAAAAAATAGAGATTATCTGAATAGAAATACAAATTCTATCTGTATGCCCTTTGCAAGCATAAATGGCAATGAACCCCCAAATCTGAAATAAAATTACGGTAAAAAATATTTTAGGTAAAGACTAAACAAAGATAGGAAGGCAATATTAATTAGAAGAAATAGAATTTAGGGCAATAGTATTAGGTTTAAAATGACCATTATTTAATGATAAAAAGAATAATTACCAAGAAAATATAATAATCCTGAGCTGCCATGTATCCAAAAATATAGGTTGGAAAATATATAAAAACAAATAATTATATATATATATACACACACATACATACACACACATACACACACATACATACACTAATAGAATTATTATAACCCCCAATAATGATGGACATTTTAAAAAATATTTTTATTGATGTCAGAGAAGAAGGGAGAGGGAAAGAGAAATAGAAATATCAATGATGAGAGAGAATCATCGATTGGCTGCCTCCTGCATGCTCCCCACTGGGGATCAAGCCCGCAACCCGGGCATATGCCCCCGACCAGGAATCAAACCGGCAACCTCTTGGTTCCTGGGTCAACGCTCAACCGCTGAGCTACACCCGGCTGGGCAATGATGGGCATTTTTAACACACACCTCTCAGAAACTGAAACAGAAAGCCTACAAATACTGGTAATGAACAACACAATTAATAAGCTTATTCAGTGGACATATACAGAATCCTGCCCCCAATAATTAGAGAAAACAGATCATTACTAGAAGGTGACCACTACCCAGTCACAACAAATACCAATGTAATATAGTCAGAAATTTAAAAACCAACAAGATAACTTAGAAATTCTATCATTTTAGAAACTAAAAAACACTTTCTTTAAGATAGGTAGATATGTAGATAGATAGATAGATAGATAGATGAAAAGGCAACTAGATAGATAAATAAGAGATGATAGAATCATAGTATACATAATCCCATGAACTGCTTTTGTCATTTAATAACAGATTGTGCATCTTCTTTTATGTTAATAACTAGAGGCCTGGTGCACGGATCCGTGCACTGGTGGGGAAATTAATTAGAAGAAAGATACGTGCGGTAATCACTTGGGGGATGTTGGACTGCCGGTTTCAGGCCAAAACTGGCAGCCGGACATCCCCCAAGGGATGTAGTAGTGTGTAGTAGTGTCTGGCGCCCATCAGTCAGCTGAGCGGCACTCCCGCTGTGGGAGCACACTGACCACAGGGAGCAGCTCCTGCATTGAGTGTCTGCCCCTTGGTGGTCAGTGCACGTCATAGCGACTGGTCGACCAGTTGTTCCGGTCATTTGGTCCTAGCAATCCATTAGGCTTTTATATATATAGAAGGTTATAGATCCTTATCAACATTTTACCAATTGTATAGGACTTCATCATCTGAATGTACCATGATTTATTTGCTGTGGAGTCATTCATGAGTCAACATTTTGGTTCTGTGGCAGAAACTGTAGATTGCCCCTAATATTCCTTCTTTCCTTTTCCTTAGTAACAAAACTCCTTCTTTTTAGTTAGGCAGGTGCTGTTTGGAATAAAGGCTTATTTCCCAGTTCCTTTTGTAGTCAGGTGTGGCCATGTAACGAACTGAAATGTTATGTTTAACTTCCAGGAACTATCTTTAAAAAGAAGAACCTTGCTTTCTTCTTCATATCTTCCTGCTGGCCGGAGTATGGATAACTATCTCAGACCACAAGCTAAAATGTTCATGTTGAAGAGGTTGCAGACACAAAATAGAAGGAACCTGGGTCACTATTGACCATGAAGTTTCAATATTAGCTATGGATTGCTTATCTCAGAACTTTATTACATGGTAGGAAAATAAATTTCTAATTCATTTAAGCTATTGGTATTTGAGATTTTCCTGAATAACACATTTTGCCAAATATTTTGCCATAATGATTAGCTGTTATAACACTTCTTTTATGCATATATTTTCCTACATGTTCTAAATATATGTATAAGTCATGGAAT